CTATCCCTTCTCCAGCAGATCTTCCCAACCCAGGAATTGAACCAGGGTCTCCTGCATTGCAGGCGGATTCTTTATCAGCTGAGCTATTTGAGTAAAATTCATCCAAATAATCAGTCTCTGTACAAGTATGACTCATGGTTCCTGCTCTGTGCATTTCGGTACTGTTTTATGATACTAATGGTACAAAGCCTTACCTCAACCCGTCACCCAGTGCTACCCCAAAGAAAATTGCTATTGCTGCCAGTAAAACATATAAACTCCAGGCAGAAGTAGTGAGCCAGTATCCAGTTATTAAGGAAACCTATGATACAGTTGGAGCCCCACTTTTTTCTTTCTATATGTGATTTGGTCCATTGTAGAATGAGCCAAAAAAAAAAAAATCATGAAATTCTCTTTCTACAAAATCTAATGCCATGTAAATGACACACAGCGATAATATGGCAAAAACTCTTTGGCCAAAACAGTCCTCATGTAGGATATGAACTCCAGAATACAGCCAGGAATCAAAAAAGAAGCACAAAGATTTCTCTGACACTGAAGTACATGTTCTTTTTCAAGAGAGATGGGACTGTCAACACCCTTGTGTGTATATTTTCAAGTCGGATCGTTTATCCAGTTTCTCGGGAATGGGGAGAGGAAGTGAGTGGCTGTGGACAGTGATGCCCGGCAGGAGGGAGGGAGAACAGCTGACCGGCCGGCAGGGGTGTTAACCCAGCAGCAGCGCCTGCAGCCCCAGGGCTGCCTGGTTCTTTGTACGACAGCGCAATGCAGCAGTAGATTCAGCCGGGAAAGGTGAAATTCTATTTTGTGTACCCATTTTCAAAAGCAAGTAGTTGAGATTCATTTTAGACAGATTTTTATTCAGTAAAAATGTTTTAGATGAAAAGTGATGCTTTTGTTGTTATTGTTGGGTCTCTCAGTTGTGTCTGACTCTTTGCGACCCCATGGACCACAGCTCGCCAGGCTTCCGTGTCTTCCCATCTCCTGGAGTTTGCTCAAACTCATGTCCATTGAATCGGTGATGCCATCCACCCATCTCATCCTCTGTCGCCCTCTTCTCCTTTTGCCCTCAATCTTTCCTAGCATCAGGGTCTTTTCCAGTGAGTCAGCTCTTTGCATCAAGTGGCTAAAGTACTTCAAAGTGATGTTTGAAGTCACCTAAAAAACTGGGGTCTGCAGATCACTTTGTTCCCCAGCGAGACTTTATTATACTGGAATCAGGAAAACGTGGGCTGTGGAGCATTCAGAATAATAAAAGTCATTGGTATCCCTTCTTTGGCCGGATGCTAGTGCTTGATTTCTAGTTTGGAGGCTTTATATGTTTTCCAGTTTATTTCTCAGAATAACCCTATAGGGCCGGGCGATTATCCCCTCTCACAGATGAAGCAGCTGAGGGTCAGAGAGTTCCCAGAGTAACTTGGCTGGCGAGTGGCCTGTGTGCGTCTGTCTCCAGTGTGGGAGAATACCCCCATTCTGCTGCGTCAGCCTGGCCGGGAGAGCAGCGTTTTGGAGGTGTGCTGCCAGTTCATGGACCCCTGCCTCTTTCCCTTTGTTTGCTTGTCTTCCTCTGCCCGCTGTTCCTTCCCCTCTCTGTTGTGTGTTAACCTGTATATGAGACCCGTGCAATCCAAGCCGCCTGCATCCAAGAGTGATTTTGCAGTTGTGGCCGCAGGGACCTTTGACGGGGATGCTGAGCTTGAGGCCCCGCCCCGGATGTCACATGCTCTGATCCCTGATGCTGGGGGCACGGGGTGGGAGGTGCCCTTCTGTGCCAAACGAAAACCTTGGGATGCCCGGCTCTTTCTGCAGCGAACGTGGTCCCAACGCAGATCGCACTGAGAGGCGCAGCCCCCCAAATAGCAGGGGTTTCCCCCCACCCCACTGAGACCAAGTAGACACCCCAAGAACTCTCTCTAGATGTGTCTGTGTTGTTTTCCTGATTGCTACAGCTGCTTTCTGCATGAAAATCAAATCATTACGGAGTTATGAGAACTGAAAACACCTCATCATTCCGCCCCCACAAAAAAAAAAAGAATCCGTTAACAGTTTTAAAGAGATTCTAATTTGTGAATTGGGGCTTCCCTGGTGGCTCAGATGGTAAAGAATCAGCCTCAGTGCGGGAGACCCCGGTTCCACCCCTCTCCTGTCCCCGCCTGCCTTCGGGTCGGAGCTTTGTCGGGCTGGAGCCCTCAGAGTTGAGAAGGGGCTGACCTCCTGCTTTGTTTTTCTCCACAGCGCTTTGCTGTGCTTATTGAAGACACGTCTGGAAGACGGACAGGGGCTGAAAGGGGGACGAGGGGGCTCCTCCTCCCAAATGTGCATGAGTTCATTAGTGGGTTGAAGCCTTATTGCCAATACCCTTTATTGAGTTCTTTACTGAGTACAGGCAACACTGTTCTTTGTATTGGTTTTTGCTTTTTAATTGAAGTGTAGTTGATTTACAACGTGTTAGTTTTGGGTGTGCAGCAAAGAGATTCAGGCATACATATATAATACCTATGCTTTTTCAGATTCTTTCCCCATTATAGATTATTATAAGATATTGTGTGTATTTCCCTGTGCTATATCGTAGGACATGCTGTTTACCTGTTTGATATACAGTAGTGCGTATCGATTAACCCCAGCCTTCGGAAGTTGTCCCTCTCCTCCACCTCCTGCTTTGGTAACCATAAGTTTGTTCTCTATGTCTGTGAGTCTATTTCTGTTTTGTAATTAAGTTCATGTGTATATTCTTGTATGTGTGCCTGTTGATTTTGATTTAATTTTTAATTAGTTGTCTTTGCATATAAATATGGATGGAGAAGTTAAATGTGTAAATGTTATGGAGAAACAAGGATTTTTGACCTCTCTGGACCTGTGTTCTGGCTTCCACGGTTCCCAGAAGAGGGACCTGAGGCTGTGAGGGGAGCCCTGACTCCCGCTGCCCCTCTGGCGGCCTGTGGGCCCCTGGCACACCCTCGTGTGGGGCCGTGTGGGCCCCTGGCACACTCTTGGTGTGAGGCTGTGCGTACAGCTTATGAGCTGCTGCCTGATTTTCTTTTCAAGGGTCAGTGTTCTATAGAAACCAGCACATAGTTGGTTTAACTATGGTATGTAACTCTTCAGACATCCTTCTGTGTATATGTCAGATAAGCTGCCAGAAAGGCCCACAGTATGATAATAGGAAGTCTGGCTCTGGAATTAAATGGTGTAGGTCTTGTACCTTATGTCCCAGCAGTTCTGCTCCAGGGTATATATATGAAAAAAACAAAAACACTAATTCAAAAAGATATATGCACTTCAGTGTTCATAGCAGTACTACTTAAAATAGCAAAGGTATGGAAGCAACCTAAGTGTCCATCAACAGAGGGATGGATAAAAAAGATGTTGTGTGTGTATATGTGTGTGTGTGTGTGTGTGTGTGTGTGTGTACACACACAATGGAATACTACTAAGCCATGAAAAAGAATGAAATTTTACCATTTGCTGCAGGGTGGATGGACTTGGTGGGCACTATGTTAAGTGAAGTTAAGTCAGAGAGACAGGATACTGTAAGATATCACTAATATGTGGAATCTGAAAAATACAACAAACTAGTGAGTTAAACAGAAAAGAAATAGACTCACAGATAAAACTGAATAAACTAGTGTTACCAGCAGAGAGAGAAGAGGGGGGCAATATAGGGATAGGGAACTTTAAAAAAAGGATTATTATGGGATTATATAAAAGTATGTGTGTGAAACTTTCAAAAATTGTAAAGCACTATAGAATCAATTAATTAGTCAATTTAAAGACTATTCTGGGAATATCCTGGTTCTGATATCAACCATGTCTCTTTAGTTAAGTGCGCCCCTTCTGGGAAACCCCCCACTCCGATCTATGAGGTGGGAGCATGAGTAGGGCTTTCCTTACTGGGGGGAGTATTAACTAATGAGAGCCTGACATAAAGAGAGCCCCCAATAAATATGAGTACTTAATATTAGTGTTTTTGTAAGAAATGGGGTCATACTTCTCATTCTGTATTATGACTTATTTTTTAAACTCTCACGAACACCTGTCTATAGCACTCTTGTGGTTGCATTATAACTGCATCATGATCCACTGTGATTGATTTGGTGCTTGAACTTGTGGAGATGATTGCACGCAGGTCAAAGGGTCATCTGTGAGGCCCATCCCTGGAAAGCAGCGCCGGGTTCTGATGCCCAAATCTGGAAAGTCCTGAGACTTTAGTGTCACAGGGCTTGATCCAGACAAGAATTTAGTGTACTTTTAGGCGTCATATAAGTATCTTCTATCAGACAGCAATAAACAGCCAGGGCTTCCCAGGTGGCACAGTGGTAAAGAACCTACCTGCCCATATAGGAGACGCAGGAGATGCAGGCTTGATCCCTGGGTCAGGAAGATCCCCTGGAGAAGGAAATGGCAACCCACTCCAGTATTTTTGCCTAGAGAATCCCATGGACAGAAGAGCCTAGTGGGTTATTAGTCTATGGGGTTGCAAAAAAGTCAGACTCGGTGTTTAAATGATGATAATAAACAGCTAAATATTTCAAGGCAGTTCACTGGATAGATTTATAGGCTTGTAAGCCTCTGACATTTCATATGCAGCTGTCCTTGCCTTCTAATACTTATCAAAGCACTTATTTTATGCCTTGATAAGTGTGTGTGTGTCTGCCTGTTTCCCTGACTCCAGTTTCTGAGGACTTAGATGACTGGCCAAGTTAGAGAATAAAGTGCCTGATTCCGCCCTAAGCCAGCGATAATTCAGCAGCAGGAGGCAGAGAGCCTTTCGTATTCAAATGCTCATGCTGCTGAAATAAAGTGGATGACAAAGTATACTTCTGGCCGTAAGAGAGATTATTAGCGGGGAGACACATGGGAACCACTGAAAGAGGGGCCTTTGTGTGCAGGGAGGCAGACGCTGGGTAATTACCAGCCCAGTTCCCCGTCTTATCTCGTCGTCCTCCTTTTTCATGCTTGCGGGGTCTGAATAGCTGTCTCTTGTCTTTTCATCCCCACAGGAATGTGGCTTTGGCTATGGGGAGGACGCCCAGTGTGTGAAGTGCCGGCCGCACAGGTTCAAGGAGGACTGGGGCTCTCAGAAGTGCAAGCCGTGCCTGGACTGCGCCCTGCTGAGCCGCTTCCAGAAGGCCAACTGCTCGGCCACCGGCGACGCCGTCTGCGGGGACTGCCTGCCTGGGTATGTGTCCAGTCCTCCCCGGGAGATCAGGTCGTTATTCTGAGCAGGATTTTCTTTCCGGTTCCCTTCCAAACATGGATGCCTGCTGACATCAACCCCAACAAGGTTGCTGAGGTTCACAGCTTTTCTGTTTCCCGGGCCTCCCGCGCACCCTGGACAGTGACAGGCGGGGGGTTAGGATCAAACAGATAAGCCAGTGACCAAGGCTCGGTGTCACAAAAATCTGCAGAGTCCCCACCGGTCAATGAGAAAGAAAAGACGGACAAAGGGATGAAAGAATAAGGCTGCTCACAAAAGAGGAAGTGCATGTGGCCTGTGATGCTAGAAGATGGCCATCCTCCATATGATCAGAGAAACGCAAACACCACCGTCCAGCTGGTCACTTCTGCAGTTTGTGTGGGGCAGCTGCTAGGTGTTGCTTTCGGGAGGGAGACAAAGACTGCTGCCCGTAGGCAGCTTACATCCTAATACGATTTGAAAGGTACCTGCATAGTAAATAATAAGTTGTGCAGAAAGGTAGAAGGTGGTGGTTCGTGGGGAAAACAGAAAGCCTTCAGCAGCTCAGGGGGCTGGGTGTGCCCCCCGGGGCCAGAGAAGAGAGGCAGGTGGCAGGATCAGAGTGGGTCACGGGCTGGGTGATGCTAAAAAGGTGAGGTCTCTGAGGATGCAGGCCCTAGGGTGGACGTGTGTGCATTTCAGAAACAGCCAAGAGGACAAGACAGGTGTAGGAGGCAACAGAGTGGGCTGGAAGGAGAGGCAGAAGGGGTGGCAGGGGTGGACTCATGTGACACTGGAGACCTTCAATGTGCACATTGGAAAGGAGCCCAGGCCGTGGACAGAAAGCGGACCACACCTGGGCCAGGTGGAGAGACAAAGCCCAGGAGGAGGAATTTTTAAATATTGAAGTGCTTGTAGGTACTGGTTGGCTGGACATGCCAGATAAAACAGGCAGCTGGAAGACAGAGTGGTGATGAAAACTGGGACCCACTGGGGCCGAGTGGTGGTCTGTTAGAGAGTGAAGAGGCCTTGCTACGGGAGGTAAGGCAGGGAAGAGACCAGGTGACTGCCAGGAGGATGTGTTTAGACAGAGCAGAGCCAGAGGAGAGACCAGGAGTCCGGAGCTTGCCTGGAACCCAGGTTTTATGGCAGAAGTGAATCGACCAGGGCCAGCAGCATTACGGGAGCAGCAGACATGTATTACTTAGTGGCCAAGCACTCTACATCCTCTGGAGGAGGAAATAACAACCCACTCCAGTAACCTCACCTGGAGAATCCCATGGACAGAGGAGCCTAGTGGGCTACAGTCCATAGAGTCACAAAAAAGTCGGACAGGACTGAAACAATTTAACACAGAGAAGCACTTTACATGAATTATTTTCTGTAATGTTCACAGTGTTTTAAAAATGAAGAAACAGCCTTGTCATTAAGGTTATTCAGGTGAGATTGCACAGACAGTACGAGGCGCAACTTGGAGCCATGTCCAGGACTCTGCTGCCAGAATCCACACTCCAAGTCATAACAGATGCAGGACCCTCCCTGCACTTGACCAGTATGTGCCCACAAGACCAGGGGTTTGACAGATGCCAGATGCTTGTCCTGGGGCTTCTATTGAAGCCAGAGGACAGCTAAAGCTCTGGGCCCAAAGAAAGAGCAGAAAATAGCCTTACAAGTCATGTCCTCACGCAAAAACTTACCACCCAAACAGCTGCAAAAAGTAGTGGTCTTACACCAACAGCACAATGACCAAAGGGAAAACAGCTGTATTGGACTTCATCGAAATTAAAATCTTTTGTGCTTCAAAGGATACTGTCAAGAAAATGAAAAGACAATCCCCCAGCATTAGAAGAACTATTCATAAATCATAAATCATATATGTGATAAGGGACTATCTTATTTAGAACATATAAAGAGCTTTTACAACTCAATAACAAAAAGACAAGTAACCCAATTAAATTATGGGCAAAGGATATGAGTAGACATTTCTGCAAATAAGATACACAGATGATACTCATGAGTGAGCTCATGAAAAGATACTCAACATCAGTCATCAGAGAAATGCAGAAAAATACCGCCACATATACTTCATGTCCATGAGGATCAGTTTAGGTCAGTCACTCAGTTGTGTCCAACTCTTTGCAAGCCTATGAACTGCAGCACGCCAGGTCCCCCTGTCCATCACCAACTCCCAGAGTTTACCCAAACTCATGTCCATTGAGCTGGTGATGCCATATAACCATCTCATCCTCTGTTGTCCCCTTCTCCTCCTGCCCTAAATCTTTCCCAGCATCAGGGTCTTTTCCANTTCCACAGTTTGTTGTGATCCACACAGTCACAGGCTTTGGTATAGTCAATAAAGCACAAGTAGATGTTTTTCTGGAACTCTCTTGCTTTTTCTATGATTCAACAGAAGTTGACATTTTGATCCCTGGTTTCTCTGCCTTTTCTAAATCCATCTTGAACATCTGGAAGTTCACGGTTTACATACTGTTGAAACCTGACTTGGAGAATTTTGAGCTTTATTTTGCTAGTGTGTGAGATAAGTGCAATTGTGCAGTAGTTTGAACATTCTTTGGCATTGCCTTACTTTGGGATTGAGATGAAAACTGACCTTTTCCAGTCCTGTAACCACTGCTGAATTTTCCAGATTTGCTGGCATATTGAGTGCAGCACTTTCACAGCATCATCTTTTAGGATTTGAAATAGCTCAACTGGAATTCCATCACCTCCACTAGCTTTGTTCATAGTGATGCTTCCTAAGGCCCACTTGACTTCACATCCAGGATGTCTGGCTCTAGTTGAGTGATCATACCATCATGGTTATCTGGGTCATGAAGATCTTTTTTGTACAGTTCTTCTGTGTATTCTTCCTTCTGTGTCCACAAGGATGGCTATAGCCAAAAGACAGACAATAGCAGGTATTGATGAGGACCGGAGAAATGGGGAAAATAAAATGGTGCAGCCGCTTTGGAAAACAGTATGGAAGATCCTCAACAAGTTATGCATTGAGTTTACTTGCAACCCAGCCCTTCTGCACTTGGGTATGTATAACCAGGGGAATTGAGAACGTACCGCACAAAAACTTGTACACAGCTGTTCACAGCACTATACGTAATAGTAAAAAGTAGACATGACCCAAATGTCCTTCAGCTGATTCAATGGATCAACAAAATGGAGTGTAATTAACAAATTAATGACAGAATGCTGTTCGGCAATAAAAGGAATGAATTACTGATACTGGTGACAACGTGGGTGAACCTCGAAAACATGATGCAGAGTGAAAGAAAACAATCACAAAANCATGACCCAAATGTCCTTCAGCTGATTCAATGGATCAACAAAATGGAGTGTAATTAACAAATTAATGACAGAATGCTGTTCGGCAATAAAAGGAATGAATTACTGATACTGGTGACAACGTGGGTGAACCTCGAAAACATGATGCAGAGTGAAAGAAAACAATCACAAAAGACCCCGTTTTGTATGATTCCATTTGTGTGAAATGTCCAAATATGGCAGATCTAAAGACCAGAAAGTAAATTAATGGCTGTCGAGGGCTAGTGGCTGCGGAGGCTTGAGAAGAATGGGGAGTGGTTGCCAAAGGAGGCAGAGTTTCTTTTCTGGAGTGATGAAGATGTCCTAAAGTAGTCGGTTCTGATGTAACACCGAATGTGTCGATACTAAAGATTGCTTACTTTACAGAGATGGAATGCATGGTATGTGAATTAAATCTCAATAATCTACTCTGTTTTTATTTCTTGACTGTGCTGCGCAGCATGTGAGAGCTGTTCCTGACCAGGGATTGAACCCATGCCCCCTGCATTGGAGGTGCAGAGTCTTAACCACCGGATCACCAGGGATGTCCCCAATCTGTTATTAAAAAAAAGAAGTAATGTAATCTCAGAAGGCACTGATACCTGTTGTGTATCATTATGCCGAGGTTTGACCTTGTGCAAATCTAATGCAGGGATAGAAACTGAACACCTGTCTTATCTCTGTTCCTGTCCTGACAAAACCAAGTCTGTGCCCCTCTGCCCTCTTCACTGGGGTCGGGCATGGGGGCGGGGGGACGAGGAGGCCACGGGGGCTGCTGCCCAAAGTGGGCAGTGCCTGGAGACCCAGGACTTGCTGTTTGTGGAGTTGGGGCGGGGACCCCAGGTGTGAGCTGCTGGACCGTGAGAGGATCCAGCCTCCCCCGAGCTCCCTCCCAGACATGCTTCTTCATGCTCCACCAAATTTGCTGTCACCTGAGCCCACAGCTTTAGTTTCCAGAATGTTTGCTCGTCCTGTAAATAAATGCTTCCATGCAGGAAGGTTAGAAATGAGTAGGTATTTGAATAGTGTTTCATTGTTTATTTATATGATTAGTTTAAAATTACATCCTTTCTAAGCCAGCATGAAGGTATGAGGCAGGCAACAATTACAGAGTGACTTGTACACAGGTCTTCCTGGGTGTGTTCAAAGTGCTCACCCAGCTTGACTGTGTTTGTGTGAAAGAGGCAAATAGTTCACACGTGCTTTACAGACAGGAAAATTGAGGCGGAAAGAAAATAAACAGGGACGTCCCTGGTGGTCCAGTGGCAGAGACTCTGTGCGTCCAATGCAGGAAGCCTGGGTTTGATCCATGGTCAGGGAACTAAGATCCCACAGGCCTTGTGGCCAAAAAACCAAAACATGAAACAGAAGGAATATTGTAATGAATTCAACAAAGACTAAAAATGGTCCACATCAAAAAAAGAAACTATAAGATAAATAAGTCAATTATGTAAAAATATGTATATAACATGTAGTAATGCTACCAACCTGTAACATTGTTGGAAAGGTTAAGAATAGAGCTTATGTCCAGAGCCTGGCAGAGTGCTAGGCACAGTAAGCACTAAATACGTCACAGACATTGCTGTCAGTTAATGTTGTGTGGGGCCTGTGAAAGCATTGCAAAAGGGGCCACATGGCCTCCGGCCCCGGCCCCAGCCGCCTTTCTCTGCTGAGGGGGCCTGGGGCCCTGCCTGGAAGAGGAGCCCACGTGGCCAGTTCTCTGCTGCTTTTAGTAACCAGGACGGCTGACACTTTCCAAGCACTCTGTATGGATTCGATGATTTAATTGCCGAATTACTGTGAAGAAGGGATTAGCATCACCCCTTCCTTGTAAAGGACGTTTTTGTTGTCATTCTCATTCAGTCTCTTAGTTGTGTCCGGCTCTTTGTGGCCCCATGGACTGCAGCACCCCAGGCTTTCACATCAATAGTATCCTTTGATATACAAAAGTCTCAGATTTAATATACTCCGTGTCTATTTTTGCTTTTGTTGCCTATTTATTATATACCTTTTGATGTTGTATCTAAGAAATCATTGCCAGATGTTGTCATGAAACTTCTCCTGTATTTTCTTCTAGGAATTTACAGTCTGGGGGTCTTATGTTTAGGTCTTTAATTCATTTTGAATTAAATTTTAACAAATTTTTAACACATCAAAGAACAAAGTTGTAGGAGTCACACTTCCTGATATCAGAACACTTTACAAACTCCACTTTTCAGTACAGTGTGATGCTGGCATAAATGCAGACACACAGAACAGAACAGAACAGAACAGAACAGAACAGAGAGCCCAGAAGTGAACCCGCACATGTGTGGTCAAACGATTTTCTACAAGCTTCTACAAGGACGTGTGTCTCCTCCAACTTTGTTCTTTGACTTTTACTTTATAAATTCCAAAAGAAATATTTTTTATCAAATTGTGGTGGGAAGTCACTGTATTATGATCATTTAAGCAGATCTTCACAATCCATTGAAAATGGAAGGTTGAGCAAGTACTGGATAAATCTGAACATTTGGTCTAATTATCTAGTTTTAAATGCAGATTTTACTTCAACCACAAATCATGCAGATTTGCTAAATAATCCAATTTCACAAAATAATTGCATCTACCTGTCTCTATAAACTTGATCTGTAGTTTATTCTCCATATCACTATTTTTGTCATGAAAAAGTTGGAAAATATATGTATATATATGTATGTATATAAAAAGCACTGGAATCCCCATCATTTAGAAATAATCTCTATTAATATTTGGTGTATAATATACCAAACTATTTACAATGCACCTTTACACACATAAATGTCTTTGGCTGCATTGATAATTAAATAATCTGAAAGAATCTATACTAAAGTGTGTGTGTGTGCAAATTGGAACTATATTATTCACAATTCATTTTCAGTTAATGATATTTCATAAATTAAAATAAAAAATAGATATGTAGACCTGCATCGTGGTTTCTAAAGTCCCCCTTGTATTTCACAGCCTTGGGTCCACCACAGCTGAGGTCACATCTGCTATTGGGTATGGGCCAGGCCTCTTGGGTTTTTTTCTTTTATAAGCAATGCTGTGGTTTCTCTATTTACATCCAATTTTCCCCACTTGATTATTTTTTGAGGATAAATTTCAAAACATGAAATTACTGGATAGGATGTAAACTGTTCTATTGAGTTCTGATGGCCTGTTGCTAAATTGCCCTGTAAAGCAGCGGTTTGTATTCCCACTGCACATGTGTGCCCGTTTGCCTAGGTGCGTGCCAACAGGTTTCCAGTTTTCTAATTCAAAACAGTATATTTTCATTGCAGTTTGCACTTGCTTGTTAGTAATGAGGTTAAACATTTTAATGTTAAAATTTTTTAAAGTTCTTAATTTCATCGTCTTTTCCCTCTTAGCTCAGTTGGTAAAGAATCCTCTGCAATGCAGGAGATACCGGTTCAATTCCTGGATCAGGAAGATCCGCTGGAGAAGGGATAGGCTACCCACTCCAGTATTCTTGGGCTTTCCTTGTGGCTCAGCTGGTGAAGAATCTGCTTGCAATGCAGGAGACCGGGGTTCGATCCTTGGGTTAGGAAGACCCCCTGGAGAAGGGAAAGGCTTCCCACTCAAGTATTCTGGCCTGGAGAATTCCATGGACTGTATAGTCCATGAGGTTGCAAAGAATTGGACACAACTGAGCGATTTTTTAAATTAAGAAATTTTAAAATTATGATGTGTTCTTTGGAACATTAGTGTTCTTTGCATGTTTTTCAGTTGCCATATTCACTTTTATAAAAATTTATTTTTATTTTTTAAATTTATTTTTGGCTGCACTTGGTCTTTGTTGCTGTGTGCAGGCTGTCTCTAGTTGCCACAAGTATTAATAGTTGTAGCCCTGGGGCTTTGTTGCTCCGAAGCATGTGGGATCTTGCCAGAGCAGGGATCAAACTCATGTCTCCTGCATTGGCAGGCATATTCTTAACCACTGGACCATCAGAGATGTCCCATGTTTACTTTCATCATAATGATTTTTAAGTTTTAAGTTATAGACAATACTGTGATTAGAACTATTTTTCAGTTTTCTTCTGCCCACTAATTATGTTGACGGCTTGTTTTTCCTTTTCAGGTGTCTCCAGTATTTGTGCACACATGTGTGTGTGAGTGTGTTTATGTGCGGGTTCAAAACTGTTAATCTCTTCCATTCTGCCTCCTGGATTTCTTGTCATTCCTAGAAAGGTGTTCCCATATCAAGATTGTGTATTTGCCTACATTTTCCCAGTGTTCTTATGGTTTGTGTGGCATTTTGGTTTCTGCATTTCAAAGGTTAAAAACCAGCACCGCATAAAGTATTTTGTCATATAAATAACAATAGAAATGTCCAGATTTCATATTGCCTCTTGGTGCCCCTCCCACCACAATGTACAAAAGTGGGGCTGAGTAGAATCTACAAAGTTACATTTAGTGAATTGTCATTTCTTAAGTCCACTGCATGCTCAGAGTGCTTTCTAAAGTTGTGTCTGTCTGAAATATACTGTTATATTTAAGCCTTTGAGAACCTTTTTTCAAACATAGAACTGGTAATGGAGACTGGCAGTAATTTATGACAGAAATCTGTTTGCTGCATTTGTGAGCTGAGATGAAAAAAGCAACACAAAGATTATTCTCTTTTCTCTTCTAGGTTTTACAGGAAGACGAAACTTGTTGGTTTTCAAGACATGGAGTGTGTGCCTTGCGGAGACCCTCCACCCCCCTACGAGCCGCACTGTGAGTCATGCCCTGCACACAGAGGGGCTCTGGGCCTTTGTAAAAGCTTTCTGCAGTTGGCAGATGGAACACAGTCTCTCTATACTGCTGGCTTAGAGGGTGCAGTCTTTTGTCAGGTGTCCAGCAGGACAGAAAGCCCTTTTGTTATGTGTCTCAGTCAGCAAACTGCGTCCACTGATCGGAACCTCGAAGGGAAATACAGACATGTTGCTACTCCTGTTCCCTTCAGCCTCTTATCTTTCAGTCTAGATGATGCCTCCGGCAACTCCAGTTAACTAGGGGTCCAGATTCTGCCTGATGTGTCCCGTTTTGTGCTGTGGCCCCCTGAGTCCATGTGTTTCCCTTCCTGGTCCCCAGACCATGGACAGAGGAGCCTGGTGGCCACAGTCCCTGCGGTTGCAAAGCAACAAGAGAAAACTTGTTTGCATGTTGGTAGGGAGAAAACTGCCTTTTCTCTTTGTAGCAACGAGTTAGACTTTCTGACCATGTTGTTTCTTAGATGTAAAAGGTATTTGTTACAGGTTATCAACCTGCATTGGTTTTGAATAGGAAAGAGAGGCTCCTGACTCGTCTGAATCCTAAATATAAATCTGGCCAATGAAAACCCCTCCGGGAGATGGTGAAGGACAGGGAGGCCTGGCATGCTGCAGGCCATGGGGTCGCAAAGTCGGACACGACTGAGTGACTGAACAACCACAGCAATGAAAATTCGCTAATAAGGGGGCAGAAGGGGAGTCAGGGTGGGCGCCCCGCCATCCCCCAGCTGTGCTCGGGGTGGGCTTGTCTGTGCTGAGGGGGGCAGCAAGGTCCAGGAAGGGGGTTGGAAGAGGACACTGCTCGAATGGGCATTGCTCTTTCCTTCTGGGGAGCATAATACAGACATTTATTTATTTAGGGATTACTTTGATATAATTCTCCATGCCCAGAATCTGACCTCTTACTTCTTTTCGTGACAGGAGCCCCCTTAAGTTAATTTAAATTTACTTCATTATTTGATAAAGTCACATGGGATTTTTGTTTCCGAGAATGTCATGGAATTTTGCAGTCCCTATTATTATGTCCTTTACCAAAGTGCATTCCTTTCTACGTTTGAAGTGACAGGAAGGCCAAGGACTTGACTCGTTCTTTTATAGAAATGCCGTTGACCCCTCTCTTTGTAATAGGTAAATGTTCATCAGATAATTCATTGCAGTTAACAGATGCAGTGTTGAATGTCTGTTTTGTGTGGGTCACAGTTGGTTTTACTTAATTTTCTCAGGGTCTCATCATCAGCTCTCAATCATCAATGCGAACACCAGTCCAGAGAGGTTAATGACTCTCCACTGTTGGCTGGTAATTGGCAACCGCGGGTCTAACTCCAGATACTATGTTCTCCCCCACATGCCCTGCTGTCTCCGTGCAGTCCCCAGCCGTCCAGTCGATCCTCTGTTGGCTGATGTCATCCACTCCATGTTGACTTTTTCTTGTATTGTTTGCTTTACTGTTCATCATCTAAGGAAACTCTAAAAGTCCAACTTAGGAGAGGTGCTGAGTCTCTTTTTGCTATGTAGCTCAGAAAAGGACATGTCCTCTTGCCAGTTAGAATGGCACAGCTACCAAGTAAAGTGGGTCAGACAGAGAAGGAGAAATATCATATGACGTCCCTTATGTGCAAAATCTAAAGAGAAATGATACAGATGAACTTATTACAAAATAGAAACAGTCTCACAGACTTAGAGAATGAGTTTACAGTTGCCAGGCTGGGGGGAGAGGATGGGTAGAAGGATCACTAGGGAGTTTGGGATGGACATGTGCACACTGTTACATTTAAAATGGAAAGGCAACAAGGCCCTGCTGTGTAGCACACGGGACTCTGCCCAACGTTAATATGGCAGCCTGGATGGGAGGGGAATTTGGGGTGAATTGTGAAACAGCTGTATGGTGGTCTTTAGTGAGCCTTAATCCTTATCTCTTTAAAGGAATGTTTGCTGCATTTGGCACAGTTCTTGGGAATAATTCCAGAACGCGGCTAATCTCTTCAAAAGAGTTCTCGATGTCTTTGGGGAAAATTATGTAAGGCGCCTCATATTTTCATTTCTCCTGCTTCAGGCTTTTGCACTCATCCATGAACAACTGCTTCTTTAGTGCCTTTCCCAGAGGCGTTCTTGTGTTATTTATACTCTAAGCGCCAAGGTGGTGGCCCCTGGGAAGCTCCCTGCAGAGCCAGGCTTCGTTTCAGGGGTGCACGTGGCGGTGGGAGCCTGGACTCCCCAGACCAGGAGCAGCCTCTGCTCAGGGCCACGGGCAGCCCTGGGGTCTGGGGACCGCGGCCCCCGCAGCAGGAGGGTCCCTGTGGCTCCTCTCTAAGCCTGCAGGCCCTGCCTAGGCCCGCTGGCCTCCCCACGCTCTCAGCGGGCTGCTGGGGCATGTGTTTGCCCCTTCGGGCTCCTGAAGGAGAGAATCCCGCAGATGCAGGTGAACACCATCATCCTGGGAGCTCCGCCCTTCCCGCTTACCTGCTGAACAAATACTCGGGTGTCTACGAGGTGCACACCCACCGTGGGGCGGACATGGGCCCAGCCCTTCCCTTCATGGAGCTCACGGTCACTCAGACGCCGCACACCTGGGCGCACCTGGTGATGGTCAGTCCCGCCTGGGAGGACCCTCGGCTCTGAGGTGATGGTGCAGGAGCTGCAGGGAGGCCCCAGCTGTGACCCGGCAGTCAGCCAGGGGAGGGCGAGCCCGAGAAGGGGGACGCGGGAAGGAGAGCATCCTGCAGCGTGGGGTGCTGACTGTGGTCCAGCCAGCCGACACCGGCATTGCCCGTGGACTTGGTCCCCGGGAAGTCTTCGGTGGCCGATTCAGTGAGTGATGGAAAGGGAGCCCAGGCGACGGGGACGTAGGAGGCTGTGCAAGGGAAGGAGGGAGCCGACGGTAGGTCACTCGGTCCAGAGCCTGCCTCGACAGTGACCGTGGGGAGCGCAGTCAGAGGAGGGATCTGGTTTATGTTGTTTGTAGGTGAGAGGCACGCCTGTCTGTTTGCAGGTGAAAGGGAACGATCCAGTTGAGAGAGGCTGACTGTTTTATCTGAGAGGACAAGAGAATGGTAAGGTTTGTTGAAGGATCCAGAGAAGGGTTGCCCTCTGCTGGAGGCGGTGCCGGGCTCCATGCTGTAACCAGGGCAGGGGCAGGCGAAAACCCGGGCATGTGCATCCATCCAGTGGCCGGCAAGGGGCTCTCCTGCGAGGCTGTGTGTGTGTGTGTGTGTGTGTGGAGCACGAAGCACCACTCTCCCAGGTGACACTGGACCCAGGCCCGCAGAGGCTGGGCCAGCACAGGCGTCTGAGGTTCCGTCAGTGAGAGTGGAGGGGTCAGGGGAGAAAACAGAGGGCTCCTGGGAGCACCCAGGGTCCAGCTGGATCAGTGGTCGTGGTGAGCCTTGTTTCCACCTCCTGTGATGTCTGTAGGGGCCTCTGTGCCACAAGACGTACCTAAACTGTGCCCGAAACGCGCAGCTTATGGTGGTGGTTGTTCAGCCGCTCAGTCGTGGCCTACTCTTTGCAACCCTGTGGACTGCAGCATTCCAGGCTTCCCTGTCCTTCATCATCTCTTGGAGTTTGCTCAAACTCATGTCCATTGAGTCGGTGATGTCATCCAACCATCTCATCCTTTGTCGTCCCCTTCTCCTCCCATCTTCAATCTTTCCCAGCATCAGGGTCTTTTCCAATGAATTGGCTCTTCGCATCAGGTGGCCAAAGTACTGGAGCTTCAGCTTCAGCATTAGTCTTTCCAGTGAATATTCAGGGTTGATTTCCTTTAGGATTGACTGGCTTGCAACAAAGTCCTTTAAAAGGACGACTGTCTGTGTTAATAACACGAGAATAATTTTAAAGGAATATAAAGACATTTTTAAAATTTTTTTACTGGAGGCTAATTGCTTTACAGTGTTGAGGTTGTCTCTGCCATAAATCAGCTCTGATCATTGATAGTTATATATATGTATATATATATCCCCCACCTCGAGCCTCCCTCCCCTCACCCCGTTCCACCAATCTGGGTCATCACAGAGCGCCACGCTGGGCTTCCTGTGTTATACAGCAGCTTCCAGTGAGGTATTTCTTTTTCACATGGTAGTGTATTTATGTTGGGCTTCCCACGTGGTGCTGCTGGTAAAGAGCCTACCTGCCAATGCAGGAGACGTAAGAGATGAAGGTTCGATCCCTAGGTCGGGAAGATCCCTTAGAGGAGGACATGGCAACCCACTCCAGTATTCTTGCCTAGAGAATCCCATGGACAGAGGAGCCTGGCAGGCTGCAGTCCATAGGGTCACAAAGAGTCGGACACGACTGAAGCAACTTGGCATGCACAGATGCTGTCTTGAGAAAGGACCTCAGGACTGCCTGGGGCTGTGGGGTTTAGCAGAGGCTGTGGCTCAGAGTCCAGCAGTAAGTGCGGGAACCTGGATGGGGCGTAAGGAGAGACGGAGGGAGCTTCGGCCATCCGTTCCCCGCAGCTCAGATTTGTGACCAAGAGTGTCTCGGTGGCAGTTTCTCTCTCTGAACCACGTACTCAAATTCCTTATAAACTGCTTTAGAAAACTAGAAGGAAGTTTCCATCCAACCTCCTGTCCTCTGACTGTATGTATTGGCCCAGTCTTGAGTCCTCAGACCCTGGCGTCCACCAGCAGCCGAGGGTGGGGCACGGCTTGGAACCAGCGAGAAGTCTGGGCACCCTTTCCTCTGCCCCGTGGCCCAAAGCACCGCGCCCGCAGCCCAGCCAACACGAGCTTTAAGCTCCCCTGCCCCGGAAGAGTGGTGGGTGTGTGAACCTTCATTCACGCCCAGGCTCTGCCTTGGACCGCGGGTGTCACCTCGGGCAAGTCAGCTCACCATTTCGAGCCTCCCCTTGGCCCTTGGGAGATGGGGATAATCGTGCCATGTTGGCAGAGGGGAGATAGACGCGAACGGGATCGCATCCAGGAGCTCCAGCCTTCTTCCCAACGATGACTGCACCTGGCCTGC